TAAGTAAGGTAGGAACACAAGTGTGTGCCAGGTAAGTAAGGTAGGCAACACAGGTAAGTGCTAGGTAAATAAGGTAAGCAAAAAAATTAAGTGTTAGCTAACTAAGGTTAGCAACATAAAAGAGTGCCATGTTAATAATGTAAGCAACACAAGTGCCAGGTAAGTAAGATATGCAACATAAGTGATTGCTAGGTAAGTAAAGTAACGTAAGTGAGTGCCGGGTAAGTAAGGTAGGCAACATAACTGAGTGCCAAGTAAGAGAAGTGAGCAAATAAAGTGTGATCGCCCTTTTAGAAGTGTTAGATAAATAATGAATGAATATATAATGAATAAGGACCAAATAAGTAACTTAATTGATATGCAAGTAAAGTAAGTCAGCGTTAAGCAAATGAGTGATAAGTAGGTGAGGTATATGACTGCCACGTAGATTAAGTAAGTACCAGGTAAGCCAAATCAATGAGTACCTGTAGGTAAAATGTATAGCAGTATATCTAAATACCTTAAATCATCAAACGTTTGCTAATTAAACATTTTGTGTGTGTGTGTGTTGCTTTGTACCAGTTGAAGTTGTTCCCTTTATTTAAAATCCAAACCTGTTTGCTTTGCCTTTATTTATTTTTATTATTATTTTACATGCAGTGCTCTGTACATTGCCGCCAGTTTCCTGGTTTATATACTTATGCATCCAATCAACTTTTTCACCCATCTATTTGAATGAACCAATTCGTACAATAATGTCAATTATCCATTTAATCATTGGTTTTATTGTATTTTGCCCTTATATTTATATTTATATATATATGTATATATATACATATATATATGCATATATTTATATATATTCATATATATGTATATATATCATATTCGTTTTTATATATCTATGTCTTAGCCTGTACCTCATTTATTTTTCCTTATTTTCTTCAAGGTTTAACACTTTTACACTATCTCGTAATGCTACACCATCTACGCGATACAATTGTCTTCTTCATCTTGTATTTCATTTCAATATATTGCGAATACAATTATACTGTCCTCATCAAAGTGCCAAACTCCTTTTCATCTATAAACAAATAATACTTCTTTATTTTTTTCTATTTTGATAAGCAAATTGAAAGTATCCAAAGGTAACAGACTGTCACCTTGAAGGATACTTCTTCTACTGTTATCTTCTCAAATATTCTTTTGTTTATGACAGCGCTTTTGTCTACACCTGAGTTTATTAATAGATTTATTGATTAATGTTACCTTTTTGCTTCTGTGTGTATATGTGTATGTGTGTGCATATAAATATATATATACATGGTCGTGTGCTTCCAGATAGCCTATGCTATGGCTTTCTCTTATCATCACTGCCGTTATCTCATATAGTATAATAGAAATCCTTGTATCATCATTATTATCATTAACAGTAGTTCTGTTATGGTCATATATTTTTGATGAAATAACTTTATTATCATTATCATCTGTTGTATAAGGTCGCTCATATTAGTTCGTGTTAACTTAATCGAAAATTAAGTTTCTATTTCTTTATTTTTGATTTACATCTGTGTGTATTATATACGTTAAGAATTATCTTTTTAAGTCACATTACAATGAAGAAAGATCGAACTCATTCCAGATGGAAAAATTTCAGTTCTGCTCTAAAGCAATATATTCTTAACATTCAGTATTTACTGGACTAGTTGTACATTTTGAGCTTCAAGGCGTCGTTCTTCCTCGGCGAATGCGATCTGGTCGAGGACGAACTGCGGGATGGGGTGAGGGAACTCAGGGGCGACGGGCAGCAGAGGGGACTGGGCCTGGAAGCCGTTCTCGTCAGCTTGGTATCGGACTTCGACCACGCTGCCATCGTCCAAGGTGTAGCTGACAGCATAAAGAAATTCGATGTTATACGCAACTTCAAGCAAATTTTCCTTTTTCTCAACCTATTACTGCATTGGTGGATAAAACGCAGTAATACACATATTATCTACCTGTAGACACCCTGAACGTTGGTCTGGCCCTCCAGGCCTGGGGCGCCCTCCTCGCTCTGGACGATGCCGTTCTCGGTCTCGATCTTGAAGGAATAAGCGCCGCCCTCGGGAGTGACGCGCTCATCAAGGAGGATCTCGATGGGCCGAGGCTCCTGAGGGGCGGCGGCGGCGAGAACCAGAGCGGCGGCTAAAATGATCTGGAGTATATTTTAGAAATTAGATTTTGGAAAGATATAGCACGGCTGTTATCTGCTCAAACTATCCCTTACACACACACGCATTTATATATATATATATGCGTGTATATATATATACATATATATATATAAATATATATGTATGTATGTATATACGTATGTGTATATATATGTGTGTATATCTATATAAATTTGCTGGCTCATAAAAGTTCACTTACGAATTTCATGTTTACTGTTGTAATGCCAACTGTGTTTATGTCTAAAGAAGTCAGCACTTTTATATCACGAAGATCACTGTCATAACCAGTTAGAACAACATACGGGAAAATGATATCTAAAACCGACAGTTACTTTTTGAAAGTAAAGTTGATTTCAAGGATTATGTAATTGTTATTGTCTCTCTCTTTCTCTCAATTTACTAAAACACACACACATATGTGTGTTTTTATATATATGTATGTATATATATATATATATATATGTATATATATATATATATATGTATATATATATGATATGTGTGTGTGCATATATATGTGTATATCTATATGTGTGTGTGTGTGTGCGTGTATATATGTGTATATATATATATAAATGTATATATATGCACACAAACATCAGTATGTGTGTGTATGTATGAAAACACACACGCGCTCCCACACACACACACACAC